AACATGGAGGAACCTCAAAAGCACTAAATTAAATGAAATAAGCCATATTCAAAACACTGGAATGTGTGAGTCCATTTATATGCAATGTCTAAAAAAGGCAAATTTGTAGAAACAAAAAGCTGATCAACGCCTAGGCCCAAAGGTGAGAGTGGGGATTAATATGCAAATGGCACAAAGAAAACTTTGGGGGACGAAAATGTTCTAAAATAGGATTGTGGTAATGGCTGCACAACTGTAGAAGCTTACTAAAATCACTGAATTCACTTAGAGTGAGCGAATTCTATGGTATGTAAATTATACCTTAATAAAGCTGTCAAAAAAAGTTCCAAGAAATTCAAACTGCCCATCAACGTCCCACTCCCGACAAATAAAATCCTTAAAAATGACTAAACAAATAATTGCAGAGAATTATAATATACCTATTTCAGATTTCAAGTGATAAAAATATCAGAAGATCACCGTTCCACTGAGTAACTACTAAACACACACACACACACACACACACCACAGCTAAAGATCACAAATCAGGCCGCTGTGCCAAGTAAGTATTTGAGTATTTGAAATGGAAACTGGAAATGCAGCCAAGTTCAAGTTCTGTTTGCCTGTCACTGATGACAAAGTCTTTTCAATGATATAAAAATTTTGCCTCAGAAAAATGAGGTCTCATACAGTCCAGCAATTTAAGTCATCTAATATACCAGTATTATATACCTACACTTATGTATATATTAGTTATCCTACTTCTGCCTTGCTTATTTTTTCTGAAGGGAGATGTACACTGGTTTAGTCACCTAGAAAATGCCGTTAACATTTTATTCTGTAAATATATTTGACAAAATATTCTTGCATATTTCTATCACCCAGCCCTCAAATGTGTGCTTTTTACAGTTCAGAAACAAGCTTCTGATGTACTGAAATGACCTCTCTCATTGGTAAGGTAAAACTTAAGAACACATTTGGCTGCTGAGATAAATACACACATGCACCTTGTATATAAGCGTAAATGTATATCATGGTACATATTTTTCCTCCCTCCACAAAAGTTTACTTCAAACATGTACGTTACTGTAGACCCAGTCATGGTGCCAATGAAATGTCTTCCTGTCTACCTACTTATCCTAGGTGATTGTGTCAAACAAGAAAATGGTTTCATATAGTTTCCTTTTCCTAGTCTTCTTGGTGAAAGCTGTGACTTAACCTAAAGCTCTAAACACTTACCTATCCCTTATCTAACAAATTCCTTGCTTTATCAATCATTCCCCTCTTGCCTCCACCCTATCTTTTTAGTTAGATATTCTCTTCTTCCCCTTTCCTTCTATCTACTGGCTTTGGCTAACTGTTGGTGTATATGCAGATGCACTGCTGTACTCTTGGGTGTAATATACAAAACATAACTCTAAAACAATGGCATTGTTCTTAGAGCACATTTAAATGAGTGCTGACACCCTCCAGTATTCATCTTTAAAAGCTTATTCTATTAACACTATTGTAACTCAAAGTAACGTTTTATGAATTGAATAAAAGCTAAATATATATTGCATATGCTTATTTTTAAAATTTCATCAAAGCCATAAGAATATATCCACGTTATTAGAGTAGAAAATAATTTCTTGAACACTTAACCACCTGCAGGCGCAAGTCTTATAATCCTCCCAATAACCGGAGGAAGTAGGTACCTTTTTAAGTTCAGTTGAACCATAAGAAAGAGCTTTTTTGTAGGTCAAAATACGCATTACTCATATTTTCATAGCAAAACTAAGCCCCAGGTCACACAGTAAGTGACAGAGTTACTACCCAACGTAATCTCCCACCGTGACAGATTTTTCCCGCATTCAAAATAGGAAAGACATGCCTTCCCAGCAGTTTGTGAATGAAATAAATTCAGATAGAAAAAAACTATTTCCCAAAGAACCTCTGGTTAGCTACAACTTCAACAGGGACTAATTCTAGGCCTAGGTTCAAAGAAGTCAATGTAATATTATCCTATATTATTAGAAATAGAGGATCTGTCTACATCAAGAAAAAGAAAAGTATTGTGTTTGTCCTGATCAGCCATGTCCAGAATACTGACAATCTGAGTACCCCCGGGAGGAATGCTCAGGATGGAGATGGCTCTGACACTAGGTTTAAACAGGAAGCCATTCATGAAATTGGGAATATTTACTAACTTAGGGAAACCCACAACAGAGGAGACAGATAAAAAGAACAGCCTGGTTAAGTATGACAAGTAATGGATTTGAAGGTAGAAGATGTGGGTCTGAAGGCAAAGGCTGTGGACACAGCTATTCACAAGTTATATCACTTTGGCTAACTTAATCTGAGACCTAAGTCTCTTCTTCCATAAAATGGAATTAGCTCTTGACCTATATCATGAGGTTTAAAATAACATATGTGAGAGTATCTGAAATAGTGAAGAGTGAGTGCGACAAAGGTAAAGTATTATTAGTATATCTGAAATGCCCTGTCACCTGATGGGAAAGGCTGAACTGAACTGACTCTGAGATATGTCCAAGGACAGGACTGGAAACCAAAGTGTGTCAGTTACAGAGGCAGTTGTCATCTTCCTGGAGCTGTCCAACAATGAAACAGGCTGCTGTGTGAACTTCTCATTTATCTGTCCTAATGTGCCCAAGAGACTGGCTAAGTTAATTAAGGATGTTACAGAGTATATTCTTACGTTGCATCCTTACCTTTCTTCTCAAATCTAAGTTCACAATTAAATTTAAGCCATTGCCAAAAATAAAATCTGCCCTCAAGGGATAAACGCTTGTTACTACTGATAACACAGAAAACAATCTCAAAAGGCAGCACCAAGGTAATTATGGACATCAGCCGCACTATTGAAGCAAAGGTGAAGGGAGTGTTCATTGGTGACAAGACTTTGTGTACGGGTATTTGCAGTGAGAAAGACAGGGATACGTTCCATTCAAACTGTTAGTACTTAGTTAAACACAAAACTTCAGTCCCACTTTTACACTGGCATTTTGAAACCATCAGAACGGTTTGCTTGTCACAGCTACAACTCTTCCTTCCCCATGCCAATCCCATCCACCTCCTCAGGTATGCACACACTGATACCACAACAGTCCACTTAAACTCTTAAAAATGTTCATCTGTGACAATTTGATATTTTGATAACTGGCTAATAGGCCCCTGCAAAGCAACTGTAACTTTTACTTGGAGGTAAGCTGGGAGGGTTTAAGCAGTAGGGTGCCCTCACTAAAGATATAAAAACTATAGTCTTATTTTATTCACTGCTTCACCTTATTCTACCAAGACCCTGAGGTAAAATTTTTCTAACGAGTATTCTATGATAGTCAGAAGACTTCAACCACCAGGTGGCACAATTTTAGAAAATAAAAAAACCAAGAGTAAGAAATACATTAACTAGTGAAGAAAAGGGAGGAAGCATTCTAATAACACATTTCAGCAGAACTATGATCACAAGGGGGAAACCCTATATTTTAATGCCACTTAGGCTTTCTTTAGAAAGATTTTGCTATTGTGTGGCCCCACCAGAAAGAAATTTACACTACAGTTATAATTTCTAACGTCATTTTAAAACAAGCCCAGAAAAGCTCTTGTTCAGAGTCTGAAGAATCTGTTCTCCAGGAAAAATGATAAAATAAGAGTTAATGCTTTCTAAAAGATATTTTTTTTAAAGTCTAATTTCAGAAAGCACCGGAATTAGTTAAGTGAGTGTTTCTCTACTTCAAACTGCACCATATTCAGTAGAGGTAGCAGACATAGCAGGGGACTCCCTACCCTACCCACTTTTACTTATCACAGCTGCAAAGTCACCAAATCTAAACAGATGCTTTTGAGTGACAAGTGCTCCCAGAGTATAGACCATGCCCCACTGCTACTGAGAGCAACCCACATAATTTCTTAAGGAATGGGCCCAGGTGCAGCTTTCCCTGAACTAATATTTACCAGCACTTACTTGCTGCTGAGCACTCTGTCAGATCACTTGAATTTCAGAGGAAAAAAAATTAGTCCATGAACTTCAACGAACACACAGGCTAGTGAGGGAAGGGACATTCCCCTAAATGCACATAGTAAATGTCCAATAAATGTTTACTGAACGTTGAATATAGGATTACCATGGGTTTGAGAATTGATTCAGACATCGACATAGTTATTTTTTTAAAAAGGTGGGAAATGAGGGTCACTTTAAATCAACCAAACAAGTGCAGAAGCCTGTGTGGATAGAAAAGGAGACACAAGGGGTGTCACAACAGAATTCCTTTGCCAGCGCAAACTTCTTTTACGCATTTACGTCTTCAAATGAAGGCTTCCAGAACTCGGATTTACTGAAGACTCTTCATAAACCACTTACTGTGAAACGCCAAGCTCAGTAATCTTGAAACCCAATAAACGAGATTTGAATGTCACTTTCCTTTAAAAGCGTACTGAGGGTGATCTCACTGGATTCTCGCAACGCAAGACGGATTCGTGGGAACTTTCTCTGAAGCTGAGATGCGCCCTAACAGGCTCCCACCTACCACAAGCAAATCCTAAACGCCTGGATACCCAGTAACAGTAATCATCACACAACGTACTGAGCGCTCACCGCGTCAGACACGGTGCTCAGGGCTTCCCTTCTCACAACCGAGGCGCTGGGTTATACCCACTTCACAGGCGAGGAGGCTGACGCTCGGGGTGAGGAGGAGCTCGCCCAAGGTCACAGGCTCGAGAGCGGCGGCGGGGCCGATTCCCGCAGGCAGTGAAGGTCTACACCGAAGCCGGCTCTCAACTACCAGCGCGCGTCCCAGAGAATGCCCGAGGGCGGGGAGCTCAGGACGACTCCAACGCCCCGGCAACACCCAGCGCAGTGGTCCCAACCCCCCAGGCGGGCGCGAAGTCCCGGCAGGATGGCACACAGCGGGGCGCGCGAGTTTGGGACCTGAGGGGGGACAGGTGAGTGTCCCGCGGCCTCCCCTCACACCTCGGCCACGAAGAGAGCGCTCCTCGGAACGGCCCGGACCCCCGAGACTCACCCGACTGGCGGCCACACCCGGAGAGCGGAAGCGGTATTCACCGGCGAAGACTCTGCACCCAAAAGCCGGCGGCCAGGGCGCCGGAACCCGAACAGCTCCGGGTGGCGAAGGTTCCGCGCCCTCCACGCCTGACCCCGCGAGGCCAGCCCCCACCGCTCGCCGCCCGATGCGCATGCGCCATCCGGCCTGGACAGGCCCATTTTCTGGCGCTGTAGGGGGAGAGCGAGCGAGTCCGCGAAGGCGCGGTAGAGCCTGAACTTTAAGTCGAACCGACGAGCCAGACTTCGTGGCTGGGATTAAAGCATTCAAACAATATTCTCTGCTAAGAAGAGTGAGGCGGGGACTCGGAGAGTTTCACTTCCGTCGCTCTCCCCACACGGTCCCCTGTGCCGAGGGTACAGTCCAAAGTTTTGGCTCCGCCGGGCGGGGCTCCAGGGCGGCGGGAACTGCAATTGGTGGCTTTGAAGGTGCAGCAGGCGGGAACAGCTGATGAGGAGAGAGCCGGCCGGCGATGTGGTACGGTAAGAGGACCCCTGGCGGCATGGCATCGGGCCCCCGAGCGTGGCGGAAGCCTTGAAGAAGCCACGTCCCACGCCTCTGAGGCGACTCTTTCGCGACTGCCGCAAGTCCCAAGGTGTGGGATTGGCCCTTGCTCTCGGGCCGGAGGCTGGGGACTACAGTTGAGGCTGAGGTGAGGAGGGCGATGACGCTGGGCCGTGACGTCACATCCGCCCGTGGTGGGGCGGGGCCTCACGTAGGGCCTGCGTCACGCTGGAGCCGTGCCGAGCTGTCACCGGCTAAACTATCCCAGCCCTGGGTTGCTGCTTTCCCCAGAGTTGAGTGTTCTTGTTTTTGGTTAACCTTGGCGTCCGTCCTTTTTAGTCTTTGCAGCCTCTCGCATTACTCCTGCTGCTCCTTGTGGCAGCTCTTAGGCTGTGCAGATTTCCAGGAAAGTTACTTAAAAGGGACCTTTTTTGTCATGCGTTCATTCAGCTGTTATATCTCGAGCACCAAGCCAAGCACTGTGCTAAGCGCTCAGATGTAGAAAGAAGTTAGCTAATCACAGGGAATCAGAAGAGTTTATTCAAGGGTTTTCCAACTTTATTGATGAGATTCTGTGGACTCTTTCTACCAGAATTCTTTAGAATGGCATTCCCAAAGTTTAGCGGGAATTAAGACTCTTAGTCTTAAAATGCAAAAATCTCAAGCCCTTCTCGGTCCCCCACCCCACCCCCAGTTTAAATCGTTGGAGCCCAGGAATCTGCATTTTAACAACCACCATCTCCAGTGTTTTTGATGGGAGACGTTGGCTTGATATTGTCACCGACTGTTGGACCCTAATCCTTCCCAGGTTGTTTACCTCCTCAGACACGGCTGCTTCAGGAGAGTCTCTAAGACTTCATTCCACAAGTATTTCCACTAGACAGTTCTTGGGCTGACACTGTTCTAGATTCTAGGAATGCAGCTATGAATAAGACAAACATAGTTCCTGCCCTAGTGAAGCTTAATCAAATATTTAATGCAATAAAGCAATAAGCAGGATAATTTCAGATAGTTCTGTAAAGACAAGGTGGGGAAATAACTAGATTGGGTGGTCAGGGTAAGTCTCTCTGTGAAGAAGCATGGCTGAGACCTGAATTACAAGAGTCATGTGAATATGTGCAGAAGAACCTTCTAAGCAGGGGTCACCGCAGATGCAATGGCCCTTAGCTGAAGGGATCCTCTTGTAATAGAGAAACTAGAAGGGCAGTGTAGCTGGAGCTCAGAAAGCCAAGGAGAGAGTGGTAGATGACAGGAAGGCAGGAACCAGACAACGCAGGGCCTTGTGGACCATGGTGAGGATTTCAGTCCTGACATTAAGGCAGGTGGGTCCTGCATATGGACAAGGAAATGAGTCAGGCTCAATTTTCATGATCCTCATGCTGCTCCCACATTCTTAATTCAATTATTTTTCTCTCTAAAGAACTAATCATTCCTCTTTATTTTTAACTATTGTTTTTAGTATCTTTTCAAAGTATTGGGTTGGCCAAAAAGTTCGTGCGAGTTTTGCCATAAGATGTTACAGAAAAACCCGCACGAACTTTTTGGGCAACGCAATATATTCAACTAACCATATATTTTCAGAAGTGGGTGATGGTAATAAAATGTATGCCGTGTTCAACACTTAAATGGTAGAAATACGTCGCAGCCAGGATTCTTTTAGGGGAATCTCCTCTATTTGCCCTTGGAAATCCCATAGTCGTGGTGGAAGCAGGTGAGATTGACAGACTTCTGCCTCTAGTCATAAACGCAGCCCTTCATGATCTCTGACCTCACCTCCTCCTCTGTGCCTTTTCACTCACCACTCTGACCTCTCTGGAGGCCTCCTTCTCCCTGTCCCTTGAAGACCCCGAGGCTTTTGCACTTGCTGTTCCATCTGCCTGGAAAGCTTCTCCACCAGCTAGCCCCATGGCTCACTCTCCCTCCCCCAAGGATTGGCTCAAATGTCACCTTCTCTCTGAGGCCTGCTCTCCATCCCCACCACCCATTGCCAGCCTGCTCCACTTTCACTGCTTCCTAACACCGCTCCGTTTTCTCCTCAGCACTTATCACTTTTAACATTTTTTGTGATTTTCCTGTTGCCTGTCTCTCCCAACTAGAAAGGACGCTCCATATTGGCAGGGATTTTTGTCTTTTTGGTTAAAGCTGTATCTATCCCCAGTGCCTAGAAAAGTGCCTGGCACACACAGGTGCTCAATAATTTGATACATGAATCAGTAAATGAGTGAATGATTCACATGTCATTGCCATCAAAAGATCAAAACACTCTAGCCAGGAAAGGAGGGAGAGCACTAATTTTTAAAAACTCTAAAACATATTTAAATGTACACTTAAGGAGAAAATAGTTTAATCCTCCTGTTGGAACACTGTTCGCAGAGCGCCTGAAAAATGGTAAACATTTGGGTACTTGACCTACAAATCAAAATTCTGGCTAAAAATATCATGCTGAAAATTCACTAAGTTACACTTTTGTGTTTGGTTAATACTTTATCGTGCTGTTTTTGGTTTTGTCTTTACGAAAGTGCCAAAGAGATGGATGAAACTGTTTCCGAGTTTTTCAGGAGGACCATCTTGAAAATCCCATTGACTGAAATGATGACAATACTAAAAACCTGGAATTTTTTGTCTGAAAATCAACTGCAGACTGTAAACTTCCGGCAAAGAAAGGAATCTCTTGTTCAGGACTTGGTTCTGCTTTGTGAGGTAACAGTGTTCAAAATGATTAACCTTGAACATGATGCTACCCTTTGGTTTTTTTCTTTCCTTTCTTTAGTCCGAAAGAGATGTAAGGTAGCTGCTAGGCTGTGAAGTTAGGAGGGCTACGTACCACGATAGCGGAAAAGGAACTAATTTTTTTTTTAATTTACTTTTGTCTGCGTTGGGTCTTCGTTGCTGCGCGCGGGCTTTCTCTAGTTGCGGCGAGCGAGGGCTACCCTTCATTGCGGTGCACAGGCTTCTCAGTGCGGTGGCTTCTCTTGTTGCGGAGCACGGACTCTAGAACGCAGGCTCAGTGGTTGTGGCGCACGGGCTTAGTTGCTCCACGGCATGTGGGATCCTCCCGGACCAGGGCTCGAACCCGTGTCCCCTGCATTGGCAGGTGGATTCTTAACCACTGCGCCACCAGGAAAGCTCCTCCTCATTCATTTTTAAATAAATATACTTTATGACCCAGCAATTCCACTTTGAAATTTACATATATGGAAAACATAATTTTAAAAAGGAGGTATATGTAATATCATAATTGATAAACATTTATATACCTAGTTATAGATATGTAAATATCTATATATAAAGATGTTAACTAGCATTGTTTACACACAAAAAATTGGAAACAACTATACTTAGGAGATTAGATAAATAATATGTCCACATAAAATATTCCTTAACCATTAAAAAGAATAAACTAGATCTTTCTGTGTAACACTGAAAGAAACTATATAATATGCAAACATATAAATGTGTGTGTATAGAGCAGTGGTTCTCAGCTGGGATGATTTTGTCTCCCAGAGGACACAATGTCTGGAGATGTTTTTGGGTGTCAAAACTGTGGGATTGGGGTGCTGCTGGCTTCCAGTGGGTAGAGGCCAGGAATGTTCCTTTACATCCTAGGACAGCTTCTACAACACAGATTTATCTGACTCAAAATGTCACTAGCACCTGGTTGAGAAAACCTGGGATAGAGGAAATCTAGACGGATACCATAGATTAAAAAAAAAAAAAAAGTTAAAAGTGATAAATGAGGATTAGATCGGGGGAGAACAGTTGTGAGAACCTGTAATGAGACACGAATCAGAAGGTGTATGTGTTACTTAACAGAAGAGCATAGATGGGAGACAGGTTGTCAGTAAAGTACTGAGAGGGCCCTCATCTGCTCTAAGCAATCCTAAAATGTGCTGTAGATGGGGTAGAACCACACCTATCACCACGATTACTAAAAATGGTATATTCTCTTTCAGGAGAATCGTGCAAGTCTCAATGATGCAGCCCTTTTGGACATCATTTGTAAGTTTTGGTGATTTGTATTTACGCTTAACCAGTCCAATTTCATCAGAGAGGCAGTTTTGTATGTAACGGCTCAGATTCTAGAGTCAAGTTGACCTGGTTTCATATTTCAGCTCTGTCACTTACCAGTCTTGTGTCCTTTGCCAAGTCACACGACCTTTTTTTAAGCCTCAGACTTTTCCTAAGTAAAATGGACATAATAACAGCTTCTACTTCACAGGATTGTTATGAGGGTTAAATAAGACAAGACTTGAAAAGCCCTTAGCACAGTAACTGGCATACAATAAGCACAGTTAGTGGTTGTTAGGCTTTGTATTATTATTAACAGAATTTGAAAGCACATGTCTGCGAATGTGTTCTAATTACAGTGCAGCCTGTAAGGAACGTAAGGATTAACAGTGACCGTACTTGCACATAGAGTGGTCATGGGGGCACTAAGTGGGAGAGGCACACATGGCTCTGGGGTCTGCATGTGCAACTAGAAGGAAATTGGGCCCCCGGCTAAGATAGGAGACACTAGAGGTGGACCAAGGTTGTCACAAATATCATGGATTAGTCTAGCATGTGTTCTATTTGAGGAAATATCTGCATTTGTATTTAAGTCCTTGCCATTTATCATGAACTTCTACACGGTGTTTAAAAGAATCACTAACGACAAAAAGTTTTTAATCTCCATTATTACGACAGCAACCTTATTCAAAGATCATTTAGCAGGCCATCTGAACTCTGAAACAGAGAACCAAGGAAGAAAATACCGGAAAGAAACAAAACCCTTTGGATGCTATCTTTCAGGGCAGGCATCACATTATACCTGATTACACCTGTTTTGGACAGAACTGGATAATCAAGAATTGTCAGGCCATCGCCATAAATGGGGTGGGATGGGGAGACAAGGATGCCAAGGCACCAAAAAAAGAAAAAACAAAAGACACAGGACAAGAAAAGTACTAAGACAAAGGCACAGCAGGTTGGTGCCCTTGAGTATTGGGGCCAACAGCCCCTCTTATGGGGTGCAGAGCACCTTGGTCCTAGGTCCAAAGACACAGGGATGCAGACCGAGGTCAGCGCAGGGATAGAGTAAAGCCAGGATGACAATGTGTTGCGACTGAACTCAGTAACTTCCTAGGCCCATTTTTACTCCAAGATACTCTTAAGTTTGTAACTCCTAGAGGGTGTCTTCTATATCATACATTCATTCATTCATTCATCAAATATATGTTTAATGCCAGCCAGTGGCTAGATGCTGGGACTACAGCAGTGAACAAGACTCAGTCCAATATCCCACAGGTACAAGCAGTGTAAAAATGAACATCTAAATGTATGCTGTAATGTCAGGTAATGGTAAGTACTATGATGGAAACTAAAGCAGGGCGGGATGGGGGGTCGATTTTGGTAGGGTGTTCAGGGTAGGCCATTCTACACTGTGGCATTTTAGTAGAGACCAGAATGAGATGTGCAACGAGCTAGGAGAAGAGTGCTCCAGACTAAGGAAAGCCGATAGAAACACCAGTTCCAGGAGCACATCATCCCTGGCTTGCCGCATAGATGCAGCAGTCTGTGGAGTAGACCTGTGTGGACAGAATAAATGGTCTAAGAATAAATGCTAAATCTCTACTATGTTGAGTAATTCTTTATGACTTGTTTTATTTGTCTGGAGTAAATTTAATCCATTTAAAATTTATATTTTGAATAAAGATCTGTATAACTTAATTTGTAAATTACTGTTAATTTTCTCCACTTTCACATTATTAAAAATATGTATTTATAAGTTGAAAGTTCTCTGATATGATAGTTACTCGAAAGTTCTCTTGATATGATAGTAATAAGCTCTTCCTCCCTGTCTCAGATACTCAATTTCATCGGCATCAGAAAGTTTGGGATGTTTTTCAGATGAGTAAAGGACCAGGTAATGTTTTCCATTTTTAACTGAACACTTGTATTTGATGTTTTGGCAATTTAAAAATGAGTAGCAGTTTGTTCCTCTTAAGTCTCTTTTCTTTCCAAATGCGGTGATTATTACTCATGTATAGAAAAATGAGAAATATATCTGGTGACGCTCTGTCAGGGGTACCAGCAGCGTTTGTGTGATTTGATCATTACTGCTCTTTGAGGTTACACCAAATGCTTATCTTCAGGATCTTTGTAAATGTATTGAAGACACTGTAGCTCCCTTGATTCTTCTTGATTTTTCTTTTCATTTTGACAGGTGAAGACACTGACCTTTTTGATATGGAACAATTCAAAAGTTCATTCAAGAAAATTCTTAAGAGAGCATTAAAAAATGTAAGAATAAAATTTATCTGAATTTCCATAAAATTCAATTTCATGGCATCTGTGCACTTAAAATTCGCTACTACATTCTTTTTTTCAATTTGTAAGAATTTCAGTTAGTAATATTCCATACTGTTCTATTCCATATCAAAGACAAACTCTACTCGGTGTAAAAACTTTCCTCTCCCCTTACCTCTCAATTCAGGGGCACTGCTTGTTTCTCAAGAGCAGCACTGCCCAGTAGGACTGTACAACGATGGAACTGTTCTAGATCAGCACCGTCCAAGACCCAGCTAGTAGCCACATGTGGCTGGTGTGACTGAGAAACTAAAATGTTCGTCGTGTTTAACTGTAATGAATTTTAGTTAAATGGCCCTAGGTGGCTCGTGGTCACAACGTTAGGGTAGCTCGAGAGCACAGAAGAGTCCTCAGCTGCCAGTCCGTTTCCACAGGTACCACCTCAACATCTTATCCTAGGTTGAGATGATTGCTTTTTTTTTTTTTTTTTTATATTGGAGTATAGTTGATTAACAGTGATGTGTTACAGGCATACAGGAAAGTGATTCAGTTATACCCATACAAGTATCCATTCTTTTTCAAATTCTTTTCCCATTTAGGTTATTACAGACTGTTGAGCCAAGTTCCCTGTGATATGCAGTAGGTCCTGAGGTGGTCACTTTTTAACAGCCTCCCCTCCTTCATTCCCTTTCCACCTTACTCTGCCTTAGTCCTTGCATATAAAGACATGCCAAACCCTGTCCCATTCGCTGTGCACTGCCCGTCCTCTCTGGCATAGTGGTGTTCCCTCTTCTCTGATAAACTCCTTGACCTGCCTCTCCATCCCCTTACCTCATCCTGTCTCTAACTGGTCCTGCTTTCTACTTACCCACCTGTCACTGAACATATTCCCTCATCTCCTTTCTTATAATGACCCTCTGTGTGTGCTGTGAATCCATCTCCTATGTCCTCATCCAACATACCTGCTTTATTTTCCTCTGTTCTCTTGCATCCTTAATCTCTTGCCTCTTCTGATTCCTACTCTACTGCTTATAAGTGTGCTCAGGTCTCAGTAAAAGTACATCCTTTCCCCAGGCTCATCCTCAAGCTCTGTTCTTTCTGCCACAAGACTCTTGGAGGGAAATATTTCTTCTTGCTCCGGATGTGTCCCACACGTGGAAGCAATCTCACTGGCCCCTCCTCACCACCCCCTTCACTTTCCTCCAGCAGGAGCAGGGCCTTAGCCTGAGTGAGAGCAGCTGCCTGCAGGCAGCACCTACTCTGGTCTGTTCCTCCAGGACCGGCTCTGCCCCTGCAGGGAGACCACTCAGAGCGGTCCTGCCAGTTACCATGTAGGCTGCTCTGCCTGCTTCTGGATTTGGTATCAGGAGGGCCACTTGCCTGGAGCAAACTCCCCATTCCTTTAATCGCTGTATTTTTTAAAACATTTCAATAACCCTTAAGACAAGTCAACCCGGCCCCTATCCCCAATTACTCTCCTTTGTCAAAAATGTCCTGTTTCTCCAGATGAATCTTAGAAACATTTTCTCAGGTTTACAGAACAAAACAAAATCTTCAGCCATTTGAGTAGGGGTGCATTTATTTATTTTTTGACTGTGCCACACGGCTTATAGAATCTTAGCGGCCTGACCAGCGACTGAACCCAGGACCTCAGCAGTGAGAGCGCAGAGTCCTAACCACTGGACCACCAGGGAATTCCCTGCATTTAATTTATAAATTAATTCAAAGAAAATTGTGAACCAAGAGAAGGTATGTCTCCTTTTTTTTTTAATTCTGTGAATAAGCAAGCACTTTTTTTTACCTTGCTCCTAAGTTCTTATTTTGGATTATATTATTTGAAAACTCTTCTTACCATGAAATTATGAACTTTGCAGACATTACAGGAGAGTCCTGTCTGGACTGTGGCTGTGGCACATGCACCTGCTTTTTTTTTTGAAACAAAGAGCCTCATTACCACATGACCCCTGGCCAGCCCTCCACAAGTGTTGTGGATATGTGGTTTGGACCCTTTTGGAAGCAGCCTTCTTGTGAAGCTGAACATGACTGGCTAACTCATCTTGAGAAACACTCGTATCTCTCTCTCTCTCTCTCTGGTCCAGTTCAGAGTTTATCTGCATCTTCCCTCCCAGCACCTTCTCACTTGATGGTCTTTCCTGTCCCTGTTTTAGGCACCAGGAACTTCTGTTCTTTTAACCCCAGGCCACTGCCCTCACCAGGCATGGAGAAAAGAGTCTGAAACACTCACATTTCCTCCCACTTTGATGCCCATGTATTTCAGTTGTTAGATTTCTCTTTTCTTATCACTACCAAAAGCTTTTGCCTCCTGAATGAATTTCAGGCACACTAGCGGGGGAGGCTGGGGGGACAAAGGAGCTTTTTTACTGATCATATCTGTCCTGCTTGAAAGGCCAGCTAGAGAATGACGTGCTTTGTATACTGCAGGTTTTAGATGAGGATAAGCAGGTAAAGGCCGTGTGTCTTCTCTGTCTCCCCGTCTCTCTACTCCGAGCTGGCCCACGTGTCCTCAGCCCTTTCCTCAGCTGACTGAGGACTCCCGGCTTATCTTCACCCTCCTCCACATAACTTAACTAGTGGCTGGATAACTCCGCTTTCCCAAAGGCTGATGATGGTGACGTCATGACAAATAGCACCTCCTGGTGCCCAGGAGTGAAGAGTGACTCACCTGCTGCTCTAGGACAGGCACCTTAACCCTTTTGTGCCAAGGACCCTTTGGCTATTAGTGAAGCTTATGGACCACTTCTCAGAAGAGTGTATTTAAATGCTATAAAATAAAATCCATAGACTCACAGGGGAAACAAATGGTATTAAAAATACAGTTAAGGTATTAAAATGGCAAATTGTGATAAGTAATGCATGTGCTTCTTTATTAACACAATAAATAATCTCATGATGGGTCTAAAAGCAACTAGTTTCAAAGTACTAATAGGTGTAAATGATATTTTTGAGGCATGTGCAACAATTATAATATGATAAGAGTATTTGGGATTTCTATGGACAACAAAGTAACGGGTCTTAAAATTCCACTGTTTTGATGCCTACTTTCCAGTTGAAGGAGATGCTAAATTTCAGTTAGAAATTAGTACAAATAAAGATGAAATTTTTCCCCGATCAAGTCCACAGATGCCCTGAATTCTAACCATGGACTTCAGGTAAAGAACTCCTGCCCTGAACCAATGGGGGAGAGAAGCTGATATGAAAGGACACAGGGAGCCTAACTGCGGAGTGATGGGTGGAGAGTGAGTGAGTGAGTGTGTGTGTGTGTGCATGTGTGTGTGTGTGTGTGTGTGAGAGAGAGAGAGAGAGAGATTAACTGCACATCATACCAGGTAAAACTCTTCAAAATACAAAGTTCTTGGAAAAACTTACAAAGAAGAGACAAACTAAAAACTGCTTCAATCGTAAGGTAGCACATTTTTTGTCCCTTTCTATGCCTGTATCATGTAGTATAATAATGATGGTCTGTGTTAAGTATGTTAATGTGTTAAATATGTGGTGATTCTTTGTATTGTAAGCTTCATTTGATTCTGACGCCAAACATACGTATGTTCAGTAGCTTGTGGGCCTTGGCCAGTTACTGACAGTTGATGGCTAGTGGAGGATACCCTGGCCAAGAGAACAGTCCCAGTTTCGCCAAACCATTTAGGACCCTTGGCCACACTCGTTTATGTCATCTTAAATTTTTTTCTTTTTAAATTTTTTGCCTGTTCCACATGGCATGTAGGATCTTAGTTCCCTGACCAGGGATCAAACCCGCGCCCCCCACATTGGAAGCACGGAGTTTTAACCACTGGACCACCAGGGAAGTCCCTTGGCTGCACTCGTTTAAGCTTGAGCAATATTAATCTGAGCTCTCCTCTGTGAAACGCTTTATCCCAGGTATTGCAGGAGGATATCCATTGAGGTAGTTTCTTGGGAAAATAATAAATATCTATATTTGGGCCCTGCCTCTACAAGTATCTGAGTATCTTCTTTACTTTAAGAATGTGAGATGGAGCATCGGCCAGCCGGACCAGGATTACACTGACTCTGTGGACGCCCTTTCCTCTTAGCCTACTGATTTTTAACCTTTTTTTGGACTATAGACCCTTATGAACATTTTGATAAGTCGCACAGCACCTCTCTAGAAAAGCACACCTTTAGACATGTCCATCCAATGGTGCATCCAATTCAGGAGGTCACAGACCTCTTTAAGTCCCTTCATGAGCCCTCACTTAAGTTATCCTCATTCTAGACTAGAGACTACCTGACTCCGTTGAATGCTACCAATTTTCTCCTAGCGAAAATGTGCCCTCCGTACACTACACTCAATGTTGACTTTACACACTTATTTTCTTTTGTAATGTGATGCAAAGAGGCTATTCAGAATAAGATCCTGTCCTCTTCCATTCAAGCTGGCAGAGGTCCACTGCATGCCTGTTGGGGCCGAGGGTTGTGCTGTTCATCTAGGGGAAGGTCAGACTGCTCTGTACCCTCCATGCCCCTTGTCTTGGGTTCCTTGTCTGATACACTGAGGAAATTTGGGGAAGCAACCAGATAAAGAGTGGGCAGAGTCAAAATACAGTCGGCCCTCCATATACATGGGTTCAACATCCATGGATTCAACCAACCACAAATTGAAAATATTCGGGAAAAAAAATTCTAGAAAGTTCCAAAAAGCAAAACTTGAATTTGCTTTGGGTCAGCAACTGTTTACATAGCATTCATGTTGTACTTATGATTATTTACATAGCATTTACTTTCTATTAGGTATTATAAGTAACATGGAAATGATTTAAAGTATGTGGGAGAATCTCACAGGTTATTTGCAATTACTACACCATTTTATATGAGACTTGAGCATCCTCGGATTTTGGTATCCTGAGAGGGGTATCTGAGAGGGTTCCTGGAACCAATCATCCAGAATCCTTAGGGACAACTGTGACTGCCTTCTTTGCTAATGTCAGCAGCCATGTGATCACCAGGAATAAGATACAAGAGGGAGGAAATAAAGAGATGTGGGCAGGGGATTCCCTGGTGGTCCAGTGGTTAGAATTCCACGCTCCCACTGCCAAGGGCCCGGGTTCAATCCCTGGTCAGGGAACTAAGATCCCACAAGCTGCACAGCACAGCCAGGAAAAAAAAAAAAAAAACCAGGGATGTGGGCAAGCCAAGTGTGCCTGTCTCAAGTATCTCCAGGGTCTGAGCTGCAAGGGGGGCTAATAATCTAGGAGTGAGCTATTAATTCCATAGAAACTGGCAATCATATTTAAAAGTTTAGAAAGGTCTATATTTTATCCATGAAATGGAAACCATGTAGAATTTCTTATATTCTCGCTATGTAACTTTGCTTTGGGGTAATTTTTAGCACCTGAGCTAAATGCGTAAAAGCATTAGGATTAGTATTTTTTTAAGCCCATTGCTACATAGAAATCTTACTATTAAACTTTACAGTGCATGCTAGGTCTGTGTTCAATGCTAAAAATGCTTCCTTATAAGATATCTCATTTGTGAGGCTGCTTTGCTTCATAAACTCTTACAGTTTTTCAGGACAAAGCCCAAGAAATATTTGAAAATTTCTGATGTCATATCCTGCTTGTAGGATTTAAAATTTTTTCCTTCCAAAAGACTTTGCAAGGCACAAATGTATCTTTACAAAACGACCACAAAATACTTTCCCAAAGATTTCCCAAAACACTGTAATGAAGAGTAGGAGAGGGACTTCCCTGATGGTCCAGGGGTTAAAACTCCATGCTTCCACTGCAGGGGGCATGGCTTCAATCCCTGGCTGGGGAACTAAGATCCTGCATGCCTCACAGCATGGCCAAAAAATAAAAAAAGTAGGAGAAAAGACTGCCAGACCTCAGCCAGTGTGCAAGATTATAATAACATCCTTCACCCCTAAGAAGCACCTGTTGTTGGTGCCACATGAGACTTTAATTAGGAAACTTACATCTTTTGTTTTTTTTTAAATAAGGTGACAGTCAGCTTCAGAGATGCTGAGGAGAATGCAGTATGGATTCGAATTGCCTGGGGAACACAGTATAGAAAGCCAAACCAGTACAAACCTGCTTACGTGGTGTATTATTCCCAAACACCATATGCCTTCACTTCTTCCTCCCAACTGAAAAGCAATCTACCCCTTCTGGGTCAGGTATGGAACCAATTACTATAAGCTATAATGCTGTATTATCCTTATCTCAGGTCCGTGTAGGTTTAAACTGCTCAATATCATTTGATATAAAATGCGACCTGTAGGGGGACTTCCCTGGCGGTCCAGTGGTTAAGTCTCCGCGCTTCCACTGCATGGGGCACAGGTTCAGTCCGTGGTCAGGGAACTAAGATCCAGTATGCTGCACGGCGCAGCCAAAAAAGAAAATACCACCTGTAATTCTTTATCTCCTAAAATAAGAAGCAGAAAACGTTATTATTCTACAAGTGAGGACAGCATAAGCGTTGGTTTAGAACTCTTCATTACTGTCTTATAATTGAGAAGTAGTACACAATCAAGGTAAAAATCCAACCAACATAGAAGTCTCTGAACAGTCTTTTAAGACTCCATACCCTTCTGCGCAATCCCATTCACCCAAAATAACTGCTTTTAACAGTTCTGCTATTTCCTTTCAGAAGATGTTTTATTACAAAAACCACACTGGTACATAGGGTCTGTAATTTGCTTTTTCTAACTTAACAGAACATTTCAATGAGGTTACATATGAATGTACCTCACTACTTTTTCATGACCTCATCGTTTACTTATTAATGAGCATTATTTTCATTTGTAACCATTTTCCCCACATTGCGTACACAAGAAGCGTGCTTTAACAGCAGATGGTCCTCTGGTCAGAGCCTGCTTCTGTTTATGGTTCTGCCTTTGGTGTCACAGGCTTCCTAGCATCTTCCCCCAAATAAGCCATCCCTAAATTAGCCTGGCAACTGCTGCTGCTTCCACCGTCTTAACATTCACAACTACAATGGTGCTTCAGTTGGTTCCAGAGCTGATTGTAGATAAGCAGCTCTGCCATCCTGGCTGCATCATCTCTAGTGCCAAGTAGAACACCAAGTCCTCCAGGCAGGCGGACTTGTCATTTAAATTCCTTTGGTGTCTACTGAAATGGCAGAAAGATTGCTACTGCTGCTCACTTCTATTTCTTTCTAACACTTAAGTCTCCTTTACATTTGGAGTCTCTTCCTCCATAATAAATGGTGGTTTTCCATCCACTGACAGCCAGGTGAGTCCACCCTGTCCCACCTAGTTTAAACATCACCCCAAAAACTAATGTTCTTTTCTAATGTGTATCTTAAGGCAAACTTATTTCTACCCTCTAGTTCCAGGTAAATACCTTATTCTATTAATTCTGTTTCAGTCTTCCAACTTGTTTCCCCAGACGATGGGAAGCTTTTATAAGTTGCATTTAATTTGCACTTTTTTCTTCAAAATTTGTCCTAGAGCGTACATACATATTTGCATTTTTGTATGGCAGTATCGTAGTATTAATGACTAGTAATCAAAAACGGTAACATTTGAGTATTCACTGTTTATTCTTAACTCTGAATTTCATTTATTATAATTCCTAACTTTAAACAGGATCACTTTGGGATTTCCCTGGCAGTCCAGTGGTTAAGAGTTGTGCTTCCACTGCAGGGGGCACGGATTTGATCCCTGGCTGGGGAACTAAGATCCCACATGCTGCTTGGTGCGGCCAAGAATTAAAAAATAAAATTTTTTTTAATAAAAAAAATAAACAGGATCACTTTTCTAAAAATGGTATTACAAAAGACCTTACATTTGTGAGAATCTTAATGCCATTAGCCCCTGTTTTTGTTTTTCAAGCTGAGTAACAGGCCATGAGATTTAATTGTTCTGGATTTTTTCCTGAACAAGTATTGTAAATACAGAGATAGACACAGTAATGCTAATAGTCTTGCTAATTTTCACTTCAAGGCACTGACAGTTGCTAGCAAACACCATCAGATTGTGAAAATGGACCTCAGAAGCCGGTATCTGGACTCTCTTAAGGCTATTGTTTTTAAACAGTATAATCAGGTGAGCCCATCAGTGACTCTATTTAAAGTGAAGTCTCCATTTTCTCTTTCACACATAATTTAGAAGCTGAGCAGGTGGGAAAGTCTACCTCCAGCGATAGGAGATCACGTCAGATATCCCTGAAGTGCAGAAAGTTTTCAGTTAATATGAAAGGAAACAATATAATTTCTCTCTCATCTTTTTATAGTTGCGTTGTATTTTATACTGCCCATTAGTCATTGGGGTCTATGTTATAGGTCCCCGTTTCCAAATCATCTATTCCAATCAGAATTTATTTTCTCTTCAGAGTAACTCGACACTGTCTTTTGAAGCTGATTATATTATTCTGTTCTGCAAGAGAGAAGCAGAATTTTTTGTCCCATCAGTCAAGCAGGTGATACAGGAGTTGGAAGTAAAGGAGAAGGCATTGGTTTATTAAGTCCCACAATTTATTTGTCAAAATTATTTGAACACATTGTTCCCCTTTGATGATAAGAACGGATCTGGCCTTGCTCCCAGGCTCAGGGGTGGTTTTTTTTGTTTTTTTTTTTCCTCTGCATGGCATCTGTGTGCTCAGATGTTCACATTCCTATAGGATTGTTAAGGCTCTGTGTTTATCTTTGAGCCCTTAGGTATGTTATACTTATGTATTTTCATCTGTTCTAAGTAGAAAGAAGTGATGGCTCTCTGCAAGCTACTCTTTAAGGAAAAAATCTAACGTTAAGAAGTTAGATAATGATTTTCTCCCACAGCAGCCCCTCCCTCTTACCTACCACCCTCCTACCAAATTGCTATCAATGGTTCTCCTATGACAGTTGCATTTCTAGGAAAATTCATATTGTCAAACACTTAATTATAAAAGCAATGGCTTCAGTGGGGAAAGTAAGCGAAGGGGTCTGAGAGGTTCAGACTTACAATAGGAAAGTTATTTTTCGATAAGGAATCTCAGCAAATTTTTTACAGTTATAAAGACATATATATAAAGCTGAAACATCACATTGTAAATGCTGCCTCTGATTCCTCTAGCTTTTGCATTCACCAGCTATACTTCTTCCAGATCCATTTTTTACGTTAACAAGGTACAGAGCTCCTCAAATAAAGCAGCCATGTTGCTGGCATTCTCTGCCAACATCGCTCTAGGAGAAATGCTCAACTCAGTCTGCAAATGGCCTCAAATCTTTGTGTTGGGAAAAACTAAAGATAAGATTTGCCATATTTTTGTGCATTAAAAGCAATTAATATCTATACTTCAAGGTGATAAAATTAGGAAAACATTCACTTTTTTCTTTTTTCTTTTTCCTAGACCTTTGAAACTCACAACTCTACTACACCTCTACAAGAAAGAAGCCTTGGGCTAGATATAAATAGTATGTGTGTTTTAAGATAAAAACTGAAATTTGCAAGGACATTCCTTTTCAGATTTCTGTCACCCAGGAAAACATTTATGTACCAGGATGTGATTCAAAAGTATTTACTGTTTTCAGAAAATTGAAAATTACATTTCTGTTGAAGTGGGGAAGCTAAGCTACCATAATCTCTTTTAGAATTTACTAGACTGGCATCTAATAATAATCAGAACAAAAACAAAAATTAACTAACAGTTGTTGAGCATTTCTTCTGTGCCAGGCACCATACTAAGGTGTTTATATGAGTCATTTCCTATTTCTTCACAGCAGTCCCATGAACAAGCTCTTTTCATCAGGAAACTGGGTTTCAGAGAGGTTTAGTAACTTGTGAGGCAAAATCACATAGCTAGGAATCGGCAAAGCCAGGAGTGAAATCCGAATCTGAGTCTGGAGCCCAGGCTCTTAATGCTTCCTGAGTACTTTATTGCATCTCACAGGTATTGCATTATTTACAAATTGAAGGTCTGTGGCAACCCTGCGTTGAGCAAATCTCTCAGCGCCATTTTTCCAACAGCATTTGCTCATTTCACGTCTCTGTGTCACATTTCCATAATTCTCACAATATTTCAAACTTTTTCATTATTATTATATTTGTTACGGTGATCTGTGATCAGTGATCTTTGATGTTACTACTGCAAAAAGATTACAACTCCCTGAGGGCTCAGATGATGGTTAGCATTTTTTAGCAATAAAGTACTTTTTAAATAAGGTATGTACATTGTCCTTTTAGACATAATAGTGTTGCACACTTAACAGACTGCAGTACAATATAAACATAACTTTTATATGCACTGGGAAACCAAAAAATTCATGTGACTCACTTTATTGCAGTGGTATAGAACTGCACCCGCTTATCTCTGAGGTGTGCCTGTAATCAGAATTGTTACCCTGTTGCTACTCACAGGTGACATGAGTCCTTTCCTAGAAAACCCAGGAGAATATAGTATGAAACTACTAATGTAGATCAGAAAGTTCAGAAAAGTGATGGGGTACAATATAGATTTATAAAAATGAAAATGTTCCTCTCTCTTGGCAGTGATTTGGCAGTAAAATGAAATGGTACAGCCATTATGAACTAAACATATTTATGACTTTCCAATGGCATAGGAACTGCTATTGATGTCATGTTAAGTAAAGAAAGCAGGATACAAAATTGTGTGTATTTTATAATCCCAGTTTAAAAAATACATATCTTTTTATTCACTGAAAAAAGGGTTAGACAAATAGATTAAAATGTTAACAGTACTTATCTCTGTGTGGTGGAATTATGGGTGATTTTTATTTTCTCTTACCAGCCTATACTTTCCAGCTTTTCAACAATAAGAAATTATTACAATCGAGAAGAAACAGTAAACATTATTTTTAAGTTATGCAAGCAAGTTGAAAGGTTAGGAATGAAAGGATGATACTTTATGGATGAAATATATATTATTATAATAATATTAAATATATAACAGCTGTTTGTCTTGAAATCTTCCATCTGTAGTGGATTCAAGGATCATTCATGAAAACAAAACAGAAAAAGAGAGGGTCCAGAGAGTGACTCAAGAAATTTTTGGAGACTATCCACAACCAAGACTAGAATTTGCACAATATAAGGTAGGACACTGCTATAAACTAACTACAACTTATCAAGATTTTTTAAAAAGAACTAAAACTAAGTGGAAAACAGATCTAAGAAACTGTCTCTTATTCATTTGTCACTTTAATGTTGTATAAGAAGTTTATGAGTTAAAATAGACTTCTTTATCATATTTAGTAAGTTCCTCTGTTGCAAAGGAGACCTTTGGAAATTTTGAATTTGCCTTTTCATTTCACCTTTCATATTAATTCAGTTATGTATAACCAGCTGTGATCTGTATTTTTGAGAAAAAAAAAAAAAGGTAGGTTATACCTTTCTAGCCCACCCACACCTAGAACAATGCTTGCACATGGTCAGTGCTCATAAATACTTATTAAATAAAAGAGTGAATAAATAAGTCATTACAAAGCCCAGTTGGCATCACGTGGAGAAAACCCAGCAGCCTGCAAACCTGGCTCATTACAGAAGCTTGCCCACCAGGAAAGCCAGGTGCGGGGCAAGCCCATGGCCACCATTAGAAGAATTCAAGGCTTATATCATGATCACGCTAATCTAATACTCATGCTCATACTCGTAACACCCTCCTCCCCTCAGACCTTCCAATAAAATTCTTTCTGCTTAGAAGGAACCTTCTGCAGCTACGAACCACACTTTAACTCTACCATTGATCTGCTCACTCAGGCCCACTGCCTGTTTGGTTTGATTTGTTTTTAGTGGGAAAAGTTGACTGACACCTTTCAAGTTATGCTCCCTGAATGGCAGGTTTCAACCCGTTTCTTTTAAACAGCTCACACTCTTAAGAAAGTCATTCTCAAAGTGTGGTCCCTGGACCAGCAGAATCAGCCTCAGCTGGGAATACGGGTAAGAAAGGCAGGTTCTTGGCCCCATTCTAGTCCTACTGGATTGCGGACTCTGGAGGTGGGTCCCAGACAGTTCACAAGCCCTCTAGCCGATTCTGCACAGAGAACCACTGATCTAGGATACATAAGATTTAGTCCACAAAACTTCTCTTTATACGCATCTTAGAATGGGTCTATTCTATAAGTCAAGGCATACATTTTTTCATACCTGCTACTAATTTTTCCCTACGTTTTCTATTTTGAAAAATGTCAAACCTTCAGAAAACATGCAAGAATATTACAATGAGCATTCATTTCCCCTTTGTTTCAAAATTTACCAATGGTTAACATTTTGCCACATCTGCTTTCTTTCTCTTTCTTTATTCTGAACCATTTGAATTAACTGCAGACATTACTCACCCTCTAAATATTTCAGCATTCTGTCTCTAAATTTTAAGGATCATTTTAAGTTAAAAAAAATAAAATGAAGTTAGAATCTAAGAGCCAAGTACCTACTGAAGTAACAGTACTTATATATTTGATGATATGAAGGAACTGTTATTAATTTTTTTAGGTGTAGTAATGTTATGGGGGTGAAGTTTTGAAAAAGAGTCCTTTTTAGGACTCTTTTAGATACATTGAAATATTTGCAGGTGGGATACTATGGTGTCTTGGATTTGCTTGGAAATAATCCAGTGGGAGTGGGCAGTAGGGAACGGAAGGCAGGGTAATAGATGGAACAAGACAAGTCATTGTTTCAGCTGGGTGATATGCACATGGGGACTCATTACACTGTGCTCCTCGCTTTTGTATGTTTTCTAAATCTTCTATAATAAGAAGTTAAACTGCGGTAGTGACTCAAAACACAAGACATTTTTACATCGAAATGACAGATTACAAAAAACTGCTCATTTTCCATTAAGAATGCAAACCTAATGCTCAGGTAAAGGGCATCTGAGGGCGGAACTGACATGCAAGGTCTCCTGTGTGTCAGGCACTGTGCACGCTTGGCCTTTTGCATGCGATATTGTTGGATATACTGGTTGCCCTCAATGTTTGCAATTAGCAAATTAAATGGTTCCCACCCCCATTAGTCCCTGTGTTTCTTGATAACAAGAATTAGTGAAATACATAATCCTATTTCTTTATATTTTGCCATTGCAACTGATATATTTAATCGTCACTTAAAAATATATCTGTTGACAGCTTGAAACAAAATTCAAAAGTGACCTAAATGGGGGCATCCTGGCTGAGAGAGAAGAACCCCTCCGGTGCCTAGTTAAGTTCTCTAGCCCCCATCTTCTGGAAGCACTGAAATCCTTAGCACCAGCCGGTAAGTAGTCAGGACACTTCATCAGCCAGAAGAATTAACAACATACTACATTCGACCCTCTCTTTGCTGACTAATTGCCCCTGAGCTTTCTCATGGCTCTAGTCTGCTATCCCATCATGCCCTGTTTTGCATATTCTGCTTCACTTAATGGGGGTCCATGATCCACCCTCTAATCTCGGTCATTTTTAAACTGACTCAAATCGTTGTCCCTGTGATTATTTTCATTTTCTTTTCTTTTCTTTTTTTTTTTTTTTAATTTCAGGTATTGCAGATGCACCACTTTCTCCATTGCTCACTTGCATACCCAATAAGGGAATGAATTATTTTAAAATTAGAGATAAATAATATGTATGTGGTTTTGTAAGCACAGCATCCTTGACTGTATTGCATATGCATTTTATAATGAGTAGCTGGATAGCTTCTATCTGCAAACTTGTTTTAGAGATTAATCCTTGATGTTGATGATTTAGAAATGTTCAGTATAATTCTTGGGACTGATTCTTTCCTCCTCCTGCAAAGCATAGCAGTTGTGGGACTTTAAGATGTGACAGGATGTCATTTCTCTCACTCCTGTCTCTCCTCAATCCTGGAGAGGTTTGGTTCCAGTTGCTGGTTTCCAGGGATTTTCTCTTAAGCCTTGGATCACAGAAAGAAGCAACAAGAAACTATACCCAGCCCGAAACTTTCCAGAAGAACCATAAAATTGGTCCATTCAAAAGGTAGAATTGGGCCCATTAAGTTATTATTGCAGGAGGTAGCCTATCAGTTGATTCAGCTATATAAAATAATGATTTCATTGTAAATATGGTACTTCTCGTCTATTTTATCATACATATGGCATTCGAACTGACAGATAATATACAGGTTTGTGAATAAAGATATTTAAAAATGGGTGTATTGGTCACTTGTGGTGAAAATCCTTCAGTGATCATCACTAAATTGCATGTCCTTTTACAATAACACTTTAAAATCTACTCCCTATCTTGATCCACAAAGGATTTGGGGTTATAACAACATATGTTACAATTATGATAAAATTAAAAGGTGAGGGGCTTCCCTGGCGGCGCAGTGGTTAAGAATCCAACTGCCAATTCAGGGGACACGGGTTCGAGCCCTGGTCCAGGAAGATCCCACATGCCGCGCAGCAACTAAGCCCGTGCGCCACAACTACTGAGCCTGCGCTCTAGAGCCCGCGAGCCACAGCGACTGAGTCCACGTGCTGCAACTACTGAAGCCACGTGCCTAGACCCTGTGCTCCGCAACAAGAGAAGCCACCACAATGAGAAGCCCGCGCAACACAACGAAGACCAAACACAGCCAAAAATAAATTAATTAATTTTTAACAAAAAATTAAAAGGTGAGGAAATCTGGGCAAATGAAGGACAGAAAAAGAATAGCAGGACAAAATAAAACTAGAGGTAAGATTACCACGTAAGAACATACAAGTGCCTCCTCAACTGCTAGAATAAAAGGGAAAATTTGGATGGCGTTAGCCAGTGGCCAAAGCAGAGGAGAAAAACACCAATTTAAATGAGATATTTAAAAACTAGTATATCAGTTACTTCTGATGAAAATCAAAAAGAGGCTTAATATACAGATATAAACACAATCAGAAGGGGCTAAACAATGCTTTATACCAATATAATGTATTGGTATTGTGTATACCAATACCAATAGGTATTTTATGTGAAATATATTAGTTTAGATTTAATTAGCAAATGGCTTAGACACTTCAGTTATCTCAGAGTGAGGCACTGAGTCTGTAGGGGCTTAATAACGCTAATTTTTTTTGTAGACCACAGTCATGGTTTAGAGCATCTGTTCCTATGTGCACACATATGGTAGGCACTTCTACTCAGTGCCTGAATGCCCATATTAGGTCTGTACAGAGGCCCTGCAGGTTCCTGGGATGGTTTCCCATAGGCTCACAGCCCTTTCTGGTGCTTTGCAAGGATGTGCAATGAGAGCCTGAACAAGAAAGCCACTATTCATATTGGGTTGGCCAGAGAGAGTCCCTTTGCGTTTTTCTGTAACATCTTACAGAAAAACCCAAAGGGACTTTCTGGCCAACCCAGTATTACCCAGCCTAGAGTGGAATCACTTGAGCCTGCACCCTGCAGCCCTCCCAGACAGAGGCTTCTGCTTCAGGAAATGAGATACAGGGAGTGCTTACCTGGTATGTGCTTGACGGTCCAGAGACACATACGCCATTCAGATGCAGTCGTGGGATCAGATGGAGCAGTAAATGCAGATCCAAGGATCTCTAGGCCAAAGGAATTTTTTTTTTTTTTTTTTTTAGGCCAAAGGAATTTAATGCACATTAGGTAGGGTCTCCAAAAATGAAAAAGAGCTCATGTTTACTGAGCACTTACTATGTGGCAGGCGCTGTGCCAAGTATTTTATACGCTTTGTCTTATTTTCATAATAATCCTATAAGGCAGGTGGCATTACTAGTCTCACTCTATTGATGTGAATACCAAAGCTTAGTACTAGCTAGTAAGTGACTGAGCCCACATTAACCCCAGGCAGTTGGCCTCCAGAGCCTGCCCTCTTGGACACTGTGCTGGAAGAAACAATAGCCTGTGGATGCTATCTCTCACACAGATGTGGAGGGTTTTGGGCCCACAGTACTTTTTAATTCAGAATTCGTTACTGTGAAGCAGAATAGTACCCTTCTCAAAGATGTCCACATCCTGATCCCTGGAATATGTAAATCTGTTACTTTACAAAACAAAAGGACTTTGCAGATGGGGAGGTTATCCCGGATGTCCTGGATGGACCCAGTGTGATCACAAGGGTCCTCAAAAGTGGAAGAGGAATAGAAGAGAGCAGAGGGAGACCTGACTACTGAAGAAATCAGAGTGATGTGAAGAAGCCTCAACTCACCATTCATTAATGACTTCGAGAAGCTGGAAAAGGCAAGTAAACAGATTCTTCCACAGAGCCTCGAAGAAATGCAGCCATGCCAACACCTTGATCTTCACCTAGTAGGCTCATTTCAGACTTCTGACCTCCAGAACTGTAAGATAACAAATCTGTGTTGTTTCAGGCCACCAGGTTTGTGGTAATTTGTTATTGCAGCAATAGAAAACAAATAGAGCTGCTAATATATAAAAGCTGGGAGTTTTCACATAAAAATCTTGAAAAATAAATCCGGCGATACCAAAGACGAGTAGTAGCCGCTGCCCCCTTTAAACAAAGGATGTAACTCCCATTCCGCTGCAGTCCTCACCCCTCCCTTTTGACTACACCTGGCCTCCTACACTCATTTAAATGACCTATCTGGTGGTCCCTCTTCCGACTTAGGATTTGGAATCCTCCTCTGAGCTACACTGTCTCCCAAACAGTAATCAAATTTCAGCAGTTAAAATACAGGCAAGTAAATCTACCCTCCCTAAAATGATTAACTCTGTCAATTATAACAATTCTTTTGTTTGTATAATGTGACCTCGGGCTAGTTACTTCTCTTCAAATATGGGAAAACTTATAATACGTACCTGCTAGGTCTGTTTCGAGGACAAAATGAGATAATGAAAAGTGCATTCCCAGTGTCTAGTAAACAGAGATAGTTGTAACTCACATACTCTCGCCTCTCCTCCTGTTGAACACTTGGGTTATTTCCAATCTTTGGGAAGTAAAGTTCCTGAACGCATTGCTTTTTCTTCTATCCAATTGTGGCCCGAGGTAAGATTTCTAGGAAGGCGAACAATGGATCAGCGGGACCAATACGTCCTACCTGTCCCCAGGAACCCCTGCGAAGTTTTGTAACCCGCCCGCCTCATCTGGTGGCGGGTCCTGGCAGACGCGCCCTCCGCTCCCCGCACGCGACGCCGCGGCCGCCCGGGCCCGCCGGATGCTAATGAGCCGAGAGGCCCCGCCCCCTTCCGGAAGTCGCTGCGGCGGGAGGCGGGGCGTCCTAGCTGTCCGGGCTGAGGTGCGGGAGCCATGGCGGCCTATGAGGCGACTGTGGCGGCGGCGGCGGCGGCGGCGGGGCCCACGGCTCTGGCCTTGGGCGCCGCGGCCGTCCCGGCCGCCGCGAGGGGAGCCGCTGCCGCCTCCGGCCCGTGGGATCCCCCCGGGCGGCTGAGGGGCAGCCGGCCGCGACCCACGGCAGCGAGGCAGCAGCCTGCGGGTGCGGCGCCGCCGGCCCGGGAGCTCATCCAGCCGTCGGTGAGCGAGCTGTCCCGGGCCGTGCGGACCAACATCCTGTGCACGGTGCGCGGCTGCGGCAAGATCCTGCCCAACAGTCCCGCGCTCAACATGCACCTGGTCAAGAGCCACCGCCTGCAGGTGAGCCCGCCGCGGACGGCGCCTCCCGGGGCCTGACGCGACCGAGCGCCTGAAGTGGGCGCTCGGGGCCGAGGGCGGCCAGAGGCGCGGACGGTAAGGCGCCGAGGTCCGGCCGGCGTCGGCGGGGGCTTCCGAGGCCCTAAAGGGCCAGACCGGGGAGGGGGTCCGGGCGGGGAGAGTGGGACCTAGGAGGCAGGAAGGCGCAGCGGTAGGAAAACCCTGTGTCATGCCACTGCGCTGTCGGGCTCGGGCCGGCCCGACCACCGGCCTCGCACTTGGCGTCGCGGGCATTTCTCACGTTCGTCTCGTGAGCTCTCACGGCACCTTCGTTCTACTGCAGAGAAACCGATGACGCACCTGCGTAGTGCTGGGCTTTAAACCCGGGCTCGGGTCGAAGCCGGTGCCGTTTGCACCGCACCCACACTGCCTCCTCCTCCGGGCCAGTTGTTAGCAGGGAGCTGCAGCTTTGGCAACATGTTCCACAGTGTTGGTAAACATCACCTTTGCCCAGGGATGAGACCTAAGGGAAGTTTCTCCCGTGAATCTTGTTTAAGAGGGGACACGGTATATAATAATAGGACAGTAATCTGAACGTCCCTTCCACCTTACGTAAAATGGGGCGACTTTCAGGCTTCAGTGCACATCTGCGGAAAGCTTCTTAAAAATCCAGATGTCCAGCCCCATCCCAGACCTATTAAATCATGATTTCTCAGTCATTACAATAGGAAGTTTACTTGCACCACTTCTTCAAGTCTTTCTAGGCCAACAGGGGCATAATTCCAAAGCACGTTACTGAAAGGAGTTTTGCGAGTATGTAGCTTTCGGTGGTCTGAATTGATTCAGGAGTAAGTTTAAATTACCTCGCCTCTTGCATGTCCCGTCTGCCCTTCAGGTAAAACTTCCTCAGAAACGTTTTTAGAATCAGGTTTCTGATAAGAATTTAACAGCAGAAAGTTTGAGGTGATGGTCTCTAGTAGGGCAGATGTGATGCCCACGAAGGGCAGCCCCCTTCTAGCACCAGCTGGATACAGAGGCAACAACGTCCTGAAGTGACGATTAGGGAGGCCCGATCGGGAGAGGTACATGGAGGTACGCTGAGGAAGACCTTGCCGGTGGGGCTGCAGTTTCCCTGCAAGTTCTGCGTTTCTTCCACAACACAAGTGAAGTAATTCTGGGAATGGTCTTCGTTCTCCTGTTTTCTCCTCCATCCCGAATTTTAATTAAACACTTCCTTTTCTTAACCATATTTTATCTTGAGTGGATGAACTGTATATTTGCAGGAATTCTTCAGCCTAATCCCTGGGTTCTCTTCAGCTCATGTATAACAGCCATCATCCACCTTCAGTATCCTCCCCTCACTGGTAGACAACTAAGCAGACGTTACATCTCTGAGCACAGAGGAAGCTGCCAGTCTGACCACGACTCTCTTTGTGTTGGCCTGAACATCACTCTCGCAAGCACTTTTTAACAGTTTACATTGTTCTTTTCTATGGAATTGCTGTCAGGGGCTGTGTCTCTCTCCAGACTTTGTGAAGCATCTGTTAAGCGCAGAGATACCATTTACTTGTCAGGACTAGTATACAATGGGTTTGGTAGTATGCAGTAGGTTTATTTCTAATAATGTTTTTAAAATACGTAAAGTTCAGGAATTCTGAAGCTACCAATCCGAAGCATATAATAGGCCTAAGAAGGAGGAATATGTTTGAGGCAACTGTAAATTTTAACAGTCAAACTTTACTTGGACCTTAGCACGGCAGAGTATCAGCATCCCCCCTTGCTTAGAACCTGTGTGAAGCCATTCTTCCAGTTTTAGTCATTTTTTCAGAGTTCTCTTGTCTGCAGACAGCACAGTGCGCTCAAGATTGCTTCCTGAACGGCAAATCTTGAACAACCGAAAAATGGACTCTCCTGAGTTTCCTTCCTGGGTCACTAGAGAGACCTGTTTCAGCAGGAATTAAAGAAACCTCACCCTGAACCATCGTTGTTTCTTCCATGTCAAACAGGCTCACTTTCCTGCCTTGTTCCGTCTTTCTAACCATGCAGCCCCTGAACATCTGCTGTCTTGGTGGAAAGGGGGTTCTTTTTTTTTAATGAAGGTAGCCTATGTGACAAAATAGCCATATCTGTATAGTGTTGCCCCAGTGTGGTGAATGTGTCCGCACATTTGGGAGCCAAGTAGTAGGCTCTTGAGTTCAAACATCATGCTTGACCCTTGATGTTCTCAAAGTATTGGGAGGAGGGAGGAGGAAGAAGGAGGCCTAATAAGGAAAAGAGCTGACTGAGAGCTCCCTGTGGCTTTGAAGGTGGGCTGCGTTTGGACCAGAGGCTCCACTAGCAGTCCAGTGTGCTCCTACGGGCCCTGAAGCGTGAGTGTATCTGCTTGGCAGATCTGCGTCGTATTCAATGGCAATTTTTCCCTTTGTTCTCTTGGTTACGGCTACTTACATAATTCTAGTTTCTGTCCTAGTTGTTGTGTTTTTTTTCTCCTAGATTATGATAATATATATATTTTTTAATTATTTATTTTTGGCTGCTTTGGGTCTTCGTTGCTGCACACCGGCTTTCTCTAGTTGCGGCGAGCGGGGGCTACTCTTCATTGCAATGCACGGGCTTCTCACTGCGGTGGCTTCTCTTATTGCTGAGCACGGGCTCTAGGCGCGCAGGCTTCAGTAGTTGTGGCTCGTGGGCTCAGTAATCGTGGCTCGTGAGCCCTAGAGCACAGGCTCAGTAGTTGTGTCTTGCAGGCTCTAGAGTGCAGGCTCAGTAGTTGTGGCTCACGGGCTTAGTTGCTCTGTGGCACGTGGGATCTTCCTGGACCAGGGCTCGAACCCATGTCCCCTGCATTGGCAGGCAGATTCTTAACCACTGCACCACCAGGGAAGACCCTATGATAATATTTTATTCCCATCCCCATTATTTGTTGTAAGGTTCTTATTTATTTCTAGTCTTCAGAAGATATCCTGCCCTCAATCAAATACTCCCTTCTTAATGATTAACAAATCCTTCTGAAGGATGATGAATAAAAGTGGAGATAGAGTTGTAAGGTGTAAGGTACATGATACCTTTTGGTTTTATGTGGGTTCTTCAGATATATGTCTATATTCCGTATCCTGTAAGTAAATCTGGAAATATCCTACTCCAGCCTTGCCTACAAGGGGATCCATGGAGAAATGAAAGCTGGTGATTCAGGGAAAAGAAGAGTAGGAGTAAATGGGCATTTCTTGGTTCTTTTATCCCTCACGTTTGAAAATAGTGAAGGGGACAGGGGCCCCCTTAAAGAACCTCTTATCCAGCAACACATATTTTTAAAACATGGCTTAGTGGATTTTGTGTTATGTTCAGTCCAGGGGTTTGCTTTTAATGATTTGCCAGGAATTTTTTTTTTTTTTTTTGAGGAAAGACAATGTTCCAAGTTGCTCTATGGATCATAGTGTACAAAGACTTCTAATTTTAAATTTACAATAAGACAACAACAAAGCAAACTACTTTTCTTCTTGGATGTTTTTCTGCAAAGGCAGAGAGATGCTAGAGTAGCTATAATGCCTTTTCTTCTTTTTTTTTTTTTTTCCCAATTTGTGCCACAGTTCTTACACTCCTTTCCTTTTATCCTCGCTTCATCGGGGTCCTTCCTCTTGCTTTGCTTTTCTTCTCTTTGTTTACTTTTGTCCATCTTGTTTTTCAGTTATTTCCTCTCATAGGTTCTTTTTCAAATTCTTTTACTTAAAATGTTTTATAAACAGGTACCCAAAAGGTACAGAAAGCATGAAGTATTTTTTTCAGTTATGCACACAAAAGGCACAGTTAAAAAATATGTCTGCTAAGTTTTATTCTAGAATGTATATAGCACTTCAGAACAAAAACATCACTTTCTTACTTCAGTTCATGTCTTATTGTGCCATTACCATTTCTTATTACCCCATTCTCATCTCAGAGCTTATTTTCTAAGGACAAGAATGGGAAGAAGGTCAGGAACTGGGGAAGAGAGGTGGTGATGGGGAGGACTGAGGAGTTGGCCCTCAGACAGCAGGAAAGCGAACGGCGTCGGGTTGTTTCCACACCTGTAATGACAGCAACAAGGAGATGTTGTTGATGTCCAATATGACTGCCTTTAGTGTCTCATCCTGGTGTGTGATACAGTTTTGACTTAGATGGCCACTTAAACATATTCAGTATAATGCCCCAAGTTTTTACTGAACATTTACTTTTTTTAAAACATTCCCAAGTGCAACAAAGTTATAAATATATTCCTCCTTTTGAAAAGGTTTGGGGAATTTTAAGTAATTCCGTTAGATACAACAGAGAAATGACGGAAAAGAAGCATAGTTTGAAGCTATATAGTACAGGACTTTGGACGTCCCAGTGGCTAGAGGAATTTGGACTTGGGGAGTGTTGGGGTGCCATTGAAAATGTTTGAGTGAGGTAATGTCACGATCAGAGGTATATTTTAGAAAGGTGAATGTGGCAAAGTGTGAATGAAAAAGAAATTGAAGGTCTAGAAATTAGTTAAGAGGTTAGTGACAAAGTCCAAACAGAGAGTCAGGAATACTTGAACTAATGATGGTAGCAGTGAGAAAGGAAACGCGAGGAGGTGGTAGGAGACATTTTTAAAGCATAACTGCCAAAACTTGGAAGCACCCAAGATGTCCTTCAGCAGGTGAATGGATAAATGAACGATGGCACATCCAGACAGGGGAATATTAGTCAGCACTAAAAAGAAATGAGCTATCAAGCCATGAAAAGACATGGAGGACCCTTACATGCATATTACCAAGTGAAAGAAGCCAATATGAAAAGGCTACATACTGTATGATTCCAGCTAAATGATATTCTGGAAAAAGCAAAACTACAGAGACAGTAAAAAGATTAGTGGTTACCAGGGCTTAAGGGGAAAGGTGTCATGAATAGGTGGAGCACAGAGGATTTTTAGGAAAGTGAATATACTCTGTATGATATTATAACGATGGATAGCTGTCATTATACATTTGGCAAAACCCATAGAA